AGATAGATAGATAGATAGATAGATAGATAGATAGATAGATAGATAGATAGATAGATAGATAGATAGATAGATGGATAGATAGATAGATAGATATGTATGTATACACACATACACACATATACACATATATATATAAATTAATTATTATTATGATTTCATGCCTGCACAGCTTCCGTATGAGGTCCTCTGGTCTCTTCGAGATCTTCTTTGGGAAGTCTGTTTTCTCAATGCCTTTTAGGATCAATGTGTATGTCATCATCTGATCACTTCCTGAGAATGGAGGACTGTAAAAAGAAATTAACTGTGAAATTCAATTATTCTTTTTTTACTTCCTGAGATTAATAAAACAATTTTGACTGGTATGTCGACACCTGCAGCACTGACCTGCCTGTGAGCAGCTCAAAGACCAGGATTCCCAGAGACCAGAAGTCCACACTGAAGTTGTGTCCTTTGTTCAGGATGATCTCTGGAGCCACGTACTCTGGTGTTCCACAGAAGGTCCAGGTCTTCTGACCACATCTGATCTTCTTCGCAAATCCAAAGTCCACCTGAGGGAGAACACCTGGTCACTGTCATGACAGGTTACAAAACTCATTGAGTCGCAGAAGATTGTTGAAGTGGTCAGAGGAGTTCCTCCAGACATTTGACAACATCTTTGATCACACACATCAGACCAACTACAGTACATCACAGAGCCTCACCACAGGCAGCAGGGAAACTCTGAGTGGCGTCATCTGACCCTAACTTTGGTTTTCTTCCTTTTGTACAAAAGAATATTTACCACTTTAATATATCCGTCTGTGTCCAACATGAGGTTCTCAGGTTTCAGGTCTCTGTACAAGATCCCTTTACGATGAAGGTAATCCAAGGCCTCTGTGACGCAGCCAACACAGAACTTGGTGGTGGATTCGTCAAAATTGCCCCTGGAACCACAACAGGTGTTTAAACATGATTTGTATTTACCACTAAAACTAGTAGCAGTAACTAGTAGGAGACTTAGCCATGTGCTGTGTTTCCTCAGCGGGAACTGATACTAAATACAACACACCGCACCAGTACCTCGTGTATTACAAATACAGGTAAGTACAGCATGTGTGCAAGTAAGCTAAGGACAGTAGCCGCACCTATGTCACATTAAACAAACTGTATAGTACTAGAACTATGTGTGTTTTCACAGCAGAACACAGTATTAAAAAGTTGAAGATCACATACCAGGAAATAGAGGAGTTGCTGTGTCTTAACAACACAGTAACATGTGTCCTGAACCAGGTTTAGTACCATGAATAATGTGTGTTAGCACTGAGCAGGAGTGGGAGACTTAACTTTCTTACATTATAGGAAGTAATACGCAGGGCAAGGAAAGTGGGAAACTGTAGCACCTGTCTCTGAGCAGACTCCAGATCTCTCCACCCAGACAGGCCTCCAGCAGCATGTACACATATTTATTATCTTTGAATGTTCGATAGAGTCTAAAGAGAGACATAGGCAGACACGTGGTGATCAGCATCAGTTTTCACTATAAGCAGATTAAAATGAAAAATGAAGAAAATGGGGGGTAAGTATCATGATACTGATTAATGAATTGCACATATTTATATTATTGATTTATTAAAGTCATATTGCTGTCAAAACAGTTCGCATTTAAAACAGTTTAAGAAGTAAAAGCCAAAGTGACCTGACTATAAACGGGGAACGAGCCTCAGCCAAGATTCTCCTCTCAGAGTGAATGTGTTCCTCTTGTCTGTTCTCCACCACGTTCTTCTTTTCTATCACCTTCAGAGCAAAAGTGATTTCTTCACCCTTCACCTTCACCTTTACAGCAGGTAAACGGCACAAAGGTAAAAACAAGATCAGACTTTCATTGGTCAGGAGGATTTTTTTTCACCTCTGAAGTTTTTTTTGTTTTTTTTTTGATCACTTCAAATTAAAAACATATTTTTAGTTTTGCAACTTGTTAGCCATTTGTGGGTAAAATTGGTTAATAATTACTAGAAGTAATTTAGGCTAATATACTGCTATATTTATCTACTACAGTTTTAAATTTAGTTTTATGTTTTAGCTGATTTAGCATTATTGTTTTTTTTTTATTGGGTTGCTAATACATTGGCTAACTTTTGTCAAATGTTTTAGCTAACTTTTTCACAAATACCAGTTCCACTCGCCCAAATCCTCCGACTCCAAGTGTACCAATTGTTTCAAGGTGGTCGAAGGGTCGTGTTGACACGAATGTTGAGACCAAGTCCTTCAGCTGGACAACGTCAGGAGGCAGCGGCTGACTTGGGTGACGTGAAGACTTCCTGCAGATGAGAGCAGAAGTCCATAAACAACAAGACTAAACTTCTAATGTAAAAACCTTTTTTTTTTAAATGTATCATTCTATAATGTTTTAGGAAACCTTTTTCACCCAGAGTTTATTATTTATTTCATTTTACTTCTTTTGTGTAGAATATTGAATCAGAAAAACAGACCGCTCTAGTCTCTTTTTGTCGTCACGACTGAGTGTTGCCACGTAGCCTTTTAGGTACGACTGCAGCTCCTCAAAGGTTCCTACTGTCTGATCAAAGGTCCTGAAATACAACAAAACTGTAAGTCCATATTTGAACTGGACTTGATCTGTAGTGAGTAACTATGTGTCTACAGGTTTATGTATGCGAGACGGGTATGAGGCCAGCAGGACTCACTCTCTGTCAATGACCAGACACTCCACTCCATTTTCATCCGCTACAATGTTTGCTGACCTGACATCATCACTGAAAGACAAGGAATGTGACCGACATGAACAGACGATGGTTCAACAACAACACCTTTATAAGAAAGCCTAATATATAACAGCGAAAAAAGTACTAACAAATAGCAAAATGTTAGCTAACATTTAGTTAGATAAAAACATGTTTGTGAGAAATCTACTAATAAAGATGTTTTATCATGCACTGAGTGTCAAGCACAAGTTTTTTGCCTGATTAAAGCTTTCTCTCCAAAATAATCTCCTTTCTGCAGTGTGTTGATGACACGTGGTGTTTTGTGTCCATCACTTGTCTGTGTCACCTTCACCTGTTAATGATAAATACCCATAATTACTGTTCATTCAGATGTAAGTCAAGACACTATATAAATCATCTTCACTTGGACCAATTTAATTTACAAAGTATTTTTCAGTATTTGTTCTTGTATTTGTACCTTTCCCTGTGCAATGATGTAGAAAGTACTTCCTTCTTCCCCCTCACGGATCACATACTCACCTTTATCATAGTATTCCTGTAGGAAACAGAGGGTTGAACCAGTGAAAACTGGGGAACTACTCAAACTAATCATTTATTAGTTAATGTTTACCTCGTTCATTTTTCAATACTGTTTTTCTAAAAAAAAAAAAAGCAGATTTTAAGTAGAAATGCATCAGTGAGCAACTAACAAAAACTGCAGTAACACATGATAAAATAATTGTCTACATTAATTAAGTTATGCATTAATGCAATAACAACACATTAACTCACTGACTTGAAGTCTGTTTTATTTGTAAAGTACAAACAAGTACCAAATCCTGACAACAGTCAGTTCATAAATAATAATTAAAATAAAGCATGCTTATCTCTGTAACAGGAAGCATTCAGTTATTTGTCTCATTGAATCTGACAGGACTCATGGTTACTGTGGAAACGTGACAGATACAGGATGTGATGTCCAGATAAACCAGGAATAACTGAGATTAGTTTATCTAATCAGATGGTACAGTTCTGAATGTTCCACTGACATCGACAGAATAAAATCTATTTCCTTTTGATTATTAAGTCATTAAGTCGTTATGGAGTGATCTGACAGCGCTAATCTGGATTACAGAGTACTGCTCTCATTCTACCAGACCAATATCAGACAGTGGTCAGTTTGTGTCACTGAAGTAAGCCTGAACAAATAACTTTCACCTCTGACGGCACAGTAACACAAACTACTGTACATGGCAGATCACTTATTGTGGTCAATGCACAAACATAGTACACACACACACACACACACAAACACACAGACACAGCTCTCACATCCTGGTCTTAAATTTCTGTATAACCTATAGTTCTTAAGACAAGGTGACTGTGTTCATGAAGACGTTTGTTGGTCCTGAACAATTCTGCTGACGCGCAGTAAAGCTATCCAGCCTGACTGGGATAAAACTGATAACACTGTGATGATGATGCAGCAGCAGCAGCAGAAGCAGCAGAGTGAGAACTCACCACCTCCAGACAGTCCACCATTTTACTCAGTTTGTCCTCAGGAAGATTTGCCAGCAGAGAAACACTGAGAGAGAAAACACACAGGTGTAAGCCCAATAGTAGTGAACTTGGAAGTACTGTACATCCAAAGATAGATAAAAGATGTGTACAGAAGTATTACTAAAAGTTCTACATAAACATTAGCTAAACAATACTATAACTAGAAGGCACAACCATGACATAGTTCAAACATTTAAATAACAGACAATGATGGTTAAAAAATGCTAAAATGCTAATGCTAAGAGTTCAATTCTTCTAAAATCCCAGCTAAGGGTTAATGGTGAGGGTTTTGTTCATGGAATGAAAACTATTGGTTGTAGTCATTTTTAAACACAGTCTTCAAAACACAAACATTAAGTTACAGAGAAACACAAGACTTTTATAAAGTGTCATTATTTTGATGTCATTTCCTGATATCTTTTAAATGTATTTTCTTCAGTTGTTTACAGTAACCGTCATCACCAAAGTTCAGCTGATCCCAGACTTTAAAACTGACCTTCTGAGAAAGTTACGGTGTTGTTCTTGTCTCATTTCAGCTGTTCTTCTCATGATGTTCTGAAAAACTTCACGATCCAACACCCACGTACGCACCTTGTTCACAGCTGAGAAAACAACAACAACTATTTTATTATCATTTAAATTCAATATTTATTATTATTATTGCTAATAATTATTATTATTAATGGTCATTAATAATTAATTATAATAATAATAATAACAAGGGAGGCTTTCTGACAGATGCCAGTTTACATCAGCACTGGCCAATATTTGAAGTTTTACTGGTTTTACTTATACTGTTGTGACTGATGGAGTCATAATAACGTTTCTACCTTTCACTGAGGCTGTACGTGTGCAGTTGTACAGAATAGCCAACTCTCCAAAAGCTGTCCACACAGTCATAGACGTCAGACGTTTGTTGTGTTGAAACACGTCCAGTTTTCCATCTGTAAATGAACCAGACCAGGACAATCAATCAGCTGTGGGTGATTTTAGGACATGGAGTGAAACTGCTGAGCTGAAACCAGAGCAGGAGCTGGAGATTAGCCTCTTTGTTCATGTTAAATGTTGAACCAGGTTTTTACCTGCCAACAGCCACTCAAATCTGCTGATATTCATCATTACTTAATATATCTAATATAGTTAATAACGTTAGTCAGACAACAACTAAACATTAGCCCCAAATAGTTGCACAAAGCCAAACTTTTTTTTGCCAGAAATACTTTATCAGCCAAATAATTTAGCATTAGCATCTGAAAGTCAGCTGAAAGCCATCATCTGAAAGTTAGCCAAAAATACTGCTAAAATTAACAAACACAGCATAACATGTAGTAGAAGTTGGTAAACTTAATTTGAATGATTGAAATATGAAATAAAGCACTGCAAAAATGAAAATAATATACGTAGATTAGCAGAAACAATAAACAAAATCTAAAACACCATTGCAAATTGTGACAAAGTAACTTTTTTCTTTGTCGGATTTTCAAATATTTACCCCACACTTTTTGCTTAATTTCATTCACTTTCTACCATGACTACCTTTGGCTAATGATTATAAGCTGATCTTTAAGCTAAAAAATTCTGGTTATTTTGTGTAATAATCTTTGTGTTAATAGAAAAACACTTTGTGATAATGATGCTGATGATGACGTTAAAACAACAAACCCTACCTGCCAGGACAAACAGGTGATTCCCCGGCTCTCCCTGTGTGATGACATACTCCCTCTCCTGGTAGCTGCGTTCATACATGCACTCCACCATGTCCTTGATCTGCTGCAGCTCTAGTCGCTTTAAGTACTGGTTCTTGTGTAGGGCATCTGTGAGCAACTTCTTTACACTGTCTCGCACACACAAACATACACACATCATCATCATCACCATCATCATCATCATCATCTACTCACACTCAGTGTTCAGTCCCAGATCTGGATCTTAATTAACAGAATCCACCTTACCTGACATCCTTGGGCACCCGTGCCTTCTCGAAGCAGAACTTTGGCAGAGAGCTGCAGTCGTAAGTTCTCGATGTGGGTTCTGCGGAGACTCCAGCTTTTGCTCCTTTTCTCCGGTTTGTTGTCTCTTTGATCGGGACATTGACTTTGGAGCATGTTTTTCCACCACTGTTGGCTTTGGACGACACAGATTGCGAGGCTCTGCCGTGGTTCTTCGTGGCCTCCTGTGATTCGCCCAGCTCGACACACCTGTTGTGAAGCTCCTCCCTCAGGTCAATCAGAGCCTGCTCCTGATTAGCCAGCTGCTCCTTTAGATCTCTGACCTCCTGACTTTTGCAGCGGAGCTCCTCCTCCTTCCTCCGGACCTCCTCCTGCAGCTCGTGCATGTGTAACCTTAGAGCCTCCACTTCTTCATTGTCCCTGAGTGTCTGGCCATTACAGGATTCTGGGAGTTTGTAACGATTCGATTTCATCAAACCATTTCCCATAATGCCACTTTTCATTGGAGAGGGGATGAAATGAGGAAAGAGGGGGTAGGAGGATGAAATAAAGAGGAAAAAGACGGGAAGGAAAAGGAGGGAAACAAGAGAGGAGGAGGAATTGTGGAGAACGATGGAGGAGAGGGGGGGATAGGAAGGAGAGAAGAAAGAGTAAAAGGAGGCGTAAAAAGAAATTAGAAGAGGAGAACAAAGGAAGGGAAAGGAAAAGAATGAAGGAGGAGCAGGAAGAAAAATCTGGGATTAGCCACAGCTGTGAGTGGAAACAGATCAAGAGTCAAATATGATGGGACTCTGCTCCATGTATTATTCAGACACTGTTAGATTATATCTGCTGAGGTCACTTCCTGCTAATGATCCCTGAGTGTGTGTGTGTGTCTGTTTTCATGTGTGTCCATGATGATGTCAAAAACACTGCACAATTTCGCCTGATTGAAAGTCAACACAGTTGATACAGTAAATACCAACAGCAGAAATTAATCACCAGAAAACTCTTCGTTTGTTGATCCCTCCGAAAACTGTTTTTTATTGACTTTGTGTGTTCGCTTTTGTGACTATGATAGATATAACAATTAAATATTTCACTAGGTGGCAAGAAATTACTTTAAAAATACAAAAAGAAAGTTGAGAGCTGTTCAAAAAGATCATTGTGTCTTTTTTTTAATTCCTAACGTTATGTCAGTACTGTGTTCAATTAAACAGGTTGATGTTTTATTATACTGTGGAAGCAGATCAACCAGGTGGAACTTTCACACATGTTTCACCTGGATGTTTCCAGGTTTTGGCAAATAATAATAACACCTACATAGCTGTGGAACTGGTGCTGATGGAGCGTGCAGATAGAGAGAAACAAATATATGTACCATAAACCTGACAAAGTCAGTTTTACAAATTGTATCTCCTTTAAGGATAAGCTAACTCTTGACTATCTGAGGGTCCTATGTTGCCTCTGAATTGACCAACTTTCGTTGGCTAATCCTGCAGCAGACATTGTAACTGTATTTCTTAGCTAAAATGTTGCTAACTCTCGGCTTTAGCTGATGTGCTGTAGTTGATTCAGTGGATGTAGTTCAGATCTACAGTCAGTTTGTGATTTAGTGCAGATTGAAAATGTCAGTGAACAATTGCGTCGTTGTGCTGTCGCCTACACACAAAATACACACACATTCATTCATGTATGCAGTAGTGAGTAAAATGTCAGATTCTCAGATTCAATTTGATGCTTTTAGATTTAGATTATTACATGGATTCTTTTAAACAATGTTTAAAACCTGAAACAATTACATACATTGTTTTTGTAGCATTTTTACACAACATATGTTACAACATTAAACTGTCTTAAAATCTAAGCGCTGCAGATTTGCAGCCATACATGAACTACATTTGTCATTTGTCATGTTCAGTCTTCTGTTAGTAATTAGACTCTGTGGAAACCTGCTTTATAACATAACCAAACTGTAAAATACAAGAAAGATTCATACATAAAATCTGGTGAGAGTCACTTTCTACTTGATAAAAATGTTATAATGAAGATGATAAATTTGATCATGACACACCTGCAGTGTAGAGAAAAGTCGCCTCCTTTTTCATCGGCTGATGAAGGAAAACCAGATTAAGCGTAAATCCTCTGTGATTTAGATAAAAAATACAAACCATCAGGATCTGTACACACCAGAGATGACAAACAGTGAGAAGGAAAAATAAAAATGGGTGGAATGTCATCCGACCTCTCTCTCTCCCTCTTTCTCTCTCTCTCTCTCTCTCTCTATCTCTCTCTCTCTCCTACCCCAAGGTCCATGTACAGCACAAGTGATTTAACTCACAGAAACACAGGAGCTGCTGGTGTGTTGTTGCCCTCTGCTGTCAGTTGGTATCGCTGAGGTGAATCTCAACAGAGAAATTCAAACAGTGGATGAAAAAAAATACTTTTGAACATATGCATGTTTGTGTGTGTGTTTGTGTCCAGAATTTGTTTTTAAAAAATAAATAATAAATTAAATACTATTACAGTAAATAAATACATGGGAACGTAATACGCATCAGATATAGAAAATATAGAAATACCCAATAGACTTGTATTAAACTTGTTTCTATTCATGCATAAAATTGACAAAAAACCTCGTATCCAACAGGTGGCAGTGTTTCACAATGTGCTAACCACTGACAGAATTTTGTTCCTACTTCCTCGTTAACTTTGTAGTTTTTGACATTTCTCGGCTGAGTCTCACGCTAGTAATCGTGTTGGATTCATGGATATTTATCTGTTTTAATCATATTCCAAATTTGTTTTTTGATCGTATCTTTTCTCTTTGACTATCCTAGGTAGGTAACAATGTATGTTTGAGTGACTGTCTGTTTTGAACACAACGAAATGACTTATACATATACATTTCTGAGAATCAAATACAAAATTTATTTATAAAATAAAAAATTATTACGGAAAATAACATTCACAGGAAAAACAGGTCAGCTTACTGTGGTAAAGGGGGCGCAGCCAAGGCCCAGCAGCGTCAGCCAAATATCATTGACGTCATTCTATTAGCCTCAAAAATACTTTTTACACGTAATACACGTAAAACAATAACAATAAATATTTAGGACAATAATAAAATAATGTCTGGTAACAAAACATTACATGAGGAAATAATGGACTAGAAATATTCGTATGAGAAACCTGTAAAATAAATAAATGAAAGTAAATGATATTAACTATAAACATAAACGTTTAAATACGTACGTTTTACCACTAGGGGGCAGCACAGTCACACTCACTACATTTAAAGGCGAAGCAGCTAAATTGACGTTAACAACACCAGTTTTACACTCTAGAGAACAGTTCGATTTTTCAGGTATATCTGTTTGAAGACATGACACAAAGTCAGCACTCCTGCTACTGGAATCGGCCTCACGATAAGCTCCGCTTTAATACTGACTTTTCCAACAGGAAAAGCGGTTTATAAGTAGAGAAAAGTTGTGATTTTAGCTCGCAGCTCAGGTGACGTTAAGGCACTGCTACCTAGTTTAAGCTGGTTCCAGCAGCAAGAGGCGCTAACATTAGAGTCAGTTGATATAATTACACTAAAATATACCTCAGTATTTAATAATGACAGCTTCAATTCAGAAATATACAGAAGCCAAGAGGTGTTAAACTCTGAAAGACCACAACTAAAGAGAGAAAGCAATGGAGTGACGTAGAAAAAACGTTTCTTACCCAGAAAGAAATAACAACAGAAGGGACAAAAAAAGGAAGTTCGTTACAAACATGTTCCCCTTTACCACGGCCAGTTTTAATGTTCCGGCTGGTGGTGAACCGCAGAGAATGCAGCACCGTTAGCCGACCAGCAGCTAACGATAATGCCAAATGGTCACCGGATCATCCGGGTGAAAGTGCAGCAAAAATATTTGATGGAGTTATCCAACATATGAGGGGAAAAAAAGAAACGACTCTATCTTCAATTAGATTCATGATTGTCGCCTCCTTGTGGACACAGAAAAGCTCTACTTTAATTTTACAGTTACACTGATAAGGAGAGTTAGCGGGGCTAATCATAAAAACAGGGATCTATGCTCTGGTCAACAGAGAGGATCTGTGGACAAAAGGGAGAGAAACAATTAGATTTAGGATTTACAACAATATTTTAACATAAAATATAATTAGTGTGACTAATCATGATTAACCCAGATAAATGTGAAAAAAATATGCATATAACTAAAATGCATTACAAATGTAAACAGATTCTTCTTTTTTTTCTTTCTTTCTTTCGGCTTTGTCCCTTTTTTCAGGGATTGCCACAGCGAATCATTGATTTCCATCTCTCCCTGTTCTCTGCATCTTCTACTCTGGCTCCAACTACTGTATCTGCATGTCCTCCCTCACTGCATCCATATATCTCCTCTTTGGTCTTCCTCTTTGTCTCCTACCTGGTAGCTCCATCTCTAACATTCTTCTACCAACGTATCCACTGTCCCTCCTCTGCATCAGAAATTAATTACACATCCCTAATTTTGACAGCCCGACTAGACTTTTAATGATTATTCGTTTTATTTGTGAGCTATGAGTTACAGTAAAAGTTAGGTAAAGACATAGCAAAACATTTTAAAAGGACTCTTCCAGGTGAACCTTTACCTCAGACTTTTCCATCTGTCTTTCTCCATGTTGTTTTCTGGACCTTCACTCTCATATGAAGCCAAATAGAGAGCTAGAATTAAAAAATAATAATAAAGTGTTGTAAAACATGTGCATGAGTTGAATTAGTCACTTATTTCTTCCATCACTCTGGAACTCACCATCCTCCGTCAGAACAGGTGTGGTCAGCAGGTGCTGCAGAATTCTTCGGTCTTTCTCAAATGGACACTCTACTTTTTTCCATGTCATGAACTCACTCACATGTTTGGCCACTTCCCAAAATTTCTGATCAAAAACATCACAAAATTTGTGTTTTTGCTCATTTTTTAACCTAGTGTGATCCAGGTGTTAATGAAAGATAAAACCAGTTCACCTGAAAGTTGATGTGTCCGTTCTGCAGTCGGTTCACACAGCCTGCATTCAGGAAGAAGATGTCTTTAATAAAGAGGCTGAAGAATGGCACCACGATCTGAGAAAAGATGGAAAAAGAAATGTTAGCGTTGAAAGAGTTGTCAGAGCCCCCTGCTGGTAAGAACCAAACTGTGCTACAATTGCTGGATTCCGGTGAAAACTTAGAAGAAACTCACTTTGATATTCAAATTAAATTCAAAACAACTGAGGTTTGAAAAGTGCTCATTCTTACTCATATTCTCCATCACAAGTCCAATACATTGGACATATTTATTTACATATTTACATTTCGAGGGGTGAACCCAGGGTCTCGGTCAGCTTTAACCCTTGGTGTAGATGTTTTTTTTTTTTTTTGTATTTTGGGGAATTACTGGGTCTATCTTATAAATAATAATAAATTAGAAAATGGAAAAGTTATTATAATAGGAATAAAGTGATAAAAAACTCTAGTTTCTGAAAATCTAAGGTGGAAGTTCAGACTCTAGATGTTCTGATGATGTGGATCACAGCAGTGAGGAAGTCTGTAAACATCTCCTCCCTCTCCCTCTCTCCCTTTCTCCCTTTCCCTCTCCTCCAGTCACAGCAGAGGTCATCAGCAAAACATTCCAGACTGTTGGGAACTTTGTGTTATAGGACTTGACCTCCTGTCCCCGGAATGTTCTGCTCTGTGAACATGGACATTCCTCAGGGAGGATGCTCCACTCAGTCTCCATACATAGACTCTCTGATTTAAGGAGAGACGACATGACGGGAGGCCAGTGGCGAGCGGCTACTGGCCTGAGGTCAAGATGAGAGAGGGAAAGCGATGTGATCTGTGTGTTTGATGACGAGGAGGACTGGAGTTAACTCCTCACATCTACACAGGCTGACCCAGAGATACTGTCAGTGTTATTTAACTTCAGCCCGGAATTCTTTTGGAGATGTTTCATTTTTTGAGATGTTTTTCACTGAATTCTGACTTATTTCAATTTATTTTGCCAACTGGATTATCTTAAAAGAATGTTTCTTGATTCTTTGTTTTTTTACTTTCTTTTTTCCTTCCTCTACATGTACCATATAGTACCAGGAAACACACATGGTTCCTGTCTATCCAGAACTAAATGGACATAACATCACCACTTTGGCAACATGTGGTGAAAAACGTGTTTCACACTCAGCAGTTTTGTAGCTGCTGACCTTCTCTCTGTTGCTGTTCGCAGCCATGGATCGCTGAGTGGCTCCTCTCAGAGCTGTTCTGTAGTTGTAGAAGTTACTAGAAGGATCCATCTGATGCTAAAACCACAAAACAATCTGTAATTAAAAGCTTTACAAACGTGGCCGGAGGTAGGAAAACGTCTTTGTGTGGATGATTTCTGAGAACTTCATCATCATCAGAACTCACTTCCAAAATGTCAAACTTTGCCGTTTTCACTTTGCTCCATGTTTTCTTCAGCCGGGACACTGGACTCATGTTCATGCCAGCTGAAAGCGAGAAGTGAGTTAGCTAAAAATTTAAACAGGCTAAGGTATAACAAAACAAGGATCAAAGTGACCTTGAAATGACAGTATTTGAAAGAACAGAAGAAGACTTACAGATGATGGCCATGAGCGAGTTAAAGTTTCCGATATTATAACACTCTCGAGCCACATCGATGAAGAACTCCATGACTCTAGCCCTCTGCTTCTTCTTTGCTGTCTAAAAGCCACAGAAATCATGAACGTCAGCTGGTACAGCAGCACCATGTCAATGCTCTACATCTGAATGTGCTGACTTGGCCAATACTTTTATAATTCAGAGCTGTCGGACTTTTAATGAAGCTGATGTTTCTCACCAGACAGATTTCTGTCGCCACCAGGTAACTGAGTCGGTTAAACCAATCGATGTAGGCCCCGAGGTTCCTGCTCTTCTTACTGAAACCCCTCTGAAACACACACACACACACACACACACACACACAGACACACAAAAGGATTAACAAATGGACAAACACAACAGGGTTCATTTTTGCAAATTTTATCATTTTTTAGAAACTATTTTTTTTATCACATTTAGCCATTTTGCCCCCCACAACCCAATTTTTTTTTAATTTGGTAATCTATCCAAAACGTTTACTGTGGCTGTTATATACAGTGAGACTTGTTTATCGTTGTTTACTTTTCAAATTTTGTATTTATTATGTACTTATTTAAGCTTTTATTTCCAGGTTGAATCATTTTTCAGCTTTAATTCTACAAACATTTTTGATCGTTTCTTATTTTGAGAACAAATTGGATAAATAATGCCGATCTTTTTTTCTTCATTCTTCCAAATAGAATTCCAGTCAATAGAGATTTCACTAACACAAAAGGGGAGGGGTGCGGCTGGCCCTCATCACCTGGGTTCCAAAAAGGAACTGTTACCTAGCAACTGAATGCCAAACAAAAGGACCCATACAAACCAAGCCCTTATGTAGAGTGTCTGATCCAGGCATTTGGAAGATGGTGTGTGCGCGTGCGTGTGTGTGTGTGTAGGTGCATGTGGGTGTGTGTGTGTACCCTGGCTGAACTCAATAATTGTGATGTCAGATATTTTCATCTCTCTTTACCTGGTCATTGTCTAGAGGATCTTTTTGGATGAAGGCCTGGATGAACTCTTCAGGTCCAATGTAACTCAGCCGCTCCTGAAATGTTTGGAAATTGTACACGTCAATACTGATTCAGTAGTGACTAAAAACAGCTTGAAGAATGATAACATTTATGTCAACGTATGTCTTCAAAAACTCACTTTGACAAACTGAGGTTTTTAAAAACCACTCATTTTTCCACACAGAGGTCCAAAGAGAAACAAAACAGAATTCTGGCTCTACAGCTGCAACAATTATCTATGAATGTGACACTAACACTAATGACACCGACACTAACCACACGGGGCAACAGTAGACCAGCAGCTCTTACTGAGCTAAAACTGTTGATTTCATCCAAAAACGTTTTTGACAGCAAGTAAACCAATGATCAACTCACCAGTTCAATGTGCGTGAGCTGCTGGGCCACGGTGAAGGGGTCGTTACAGATAGACATCAGATCCCGCTGCAGCGCCCCCTGAGGTTTTGTCTTCACTAGGGTCAGTCTCTCGGCTGCTGCTGCATTAATCTTCAGCAGAGCTTCTTCATACTGACTGAGAACTGTCAACATGCGGATCAAACCCTGACTCATCTGTGCCACTGCCTTCCTGTACAGCTGATGGAGAACACCAAAGAAGGACACAATCAGTTAGAACAGTGTTTCTCAACCTTTTTTTGAGCCATGGCGCATATATATCATCAGGAAAAACCACACAGCACACCACCAAACAAAAATATCACAAAAAATATATGTACTGAAATAATAATAATCTACTAGTTCAAATGACCTCATAATTGACTAGAAATCTCAGTCTGTTTAGATAAAGACAACAACGATTTACTAGCAGCAACTGAAGAAAGACACACACGAAGATCTTCAAGATCTTTTTAGTTTTAACAGTAGATTTAATTGCTCTGTCTGTCACGCATTGATGAACAAAGAAACAATATTTGCAATAAATAAATTATAGTTTTGGGCCCAATTAAGTGACATTGCATAATATTCCATGGCACACTTAATGATCTCTCATGTACACTAGCGTAAACTGTCTGTTACTACATCTGTGTGTGTGTGTGTGGTGTACAGTGTGTGCGTAGTTATAGTCTGTTGACTGGAAACATTCGGTCGCATATTTAAAATCCTTCATCTAATCTTTTTTCTGAGTCTGTAAACAGACAACACAGAGTGTTTATTGTTCAGAGCAGCATCTTCAGGTCAATGTGTGTTACACAAACTCTCTGTCACCCTGGACTGCCTTCATACACTGACAGCGAGTTATTAGCTCCATGGCATTAGAGGTCAAAAGATCAGTTCATTCCATGAGTAACAAGGTCACAGTTAGATAATCAGTTCCTCACTGACACAGTTGAGTTCTGAGGTTACATAAGAGAAGAAGACATGTGCCTCTCATTTGGAACACTGTGTTTGTGACCCAGTAGAGTTATAGAATAAAGACCTGAGCTTGGTCTGTTTCAGCCGCCAGGAACCAGGAACCTCTCGCACAAGAATCAAATCTTAACCACTGACAACAACATAGTTGAACTGGGAGATTAAAAAAACTAATTCATGTCTGCCTCTATTTCACTGTGGTGAAAGAACAATAAACTCTGTTGGGTAAAAAGAGCTAGACCATGTTCATAATGTCACTATGTTTGTTTTTTCATTCTCAAAGTCAAAGAAGTACTGAGATTAATCAAAAGTCTTCTACAGAGCACAGTCTATCATTTACAGACTTTAAAAATGTATAAAAGTAGGCCTTCCTCTGAGCAAGCACCATGTTGTATCTGTGTGATGGACGCTCTGCCCACATAGGTCCTGTATTTCCTGATGGTTCTAAAAAAAATAAGCTTTGGTTGTTCCAGATTCAATGTTTACCCAAAACTAAAGTTTGTTTCCATATGAAAAAAGTCTACATTACAGATCTGGAGAGAAGGGAAAACATGCGCAATTGCCATGAAATATTAAGTTTGGCCCACGATTTGTACCAATTTTTTATTTTGGCCAACTTGGAATTCGAGTTTGACACCCCTGATCTAGGACATAAAATTATGAAATGGCTGACCTATGCCTGGGAGAAATAATAAAGGCCAAAAGTTCCCAAAAAAATCAACACAAATAAAATAAAGTGAATGCAGCACAATCCAATGTATGGAGTACAACTGGGTAAATAAGGTCGTCTCCCATGACACACCATGTAGTGATATATTTTCTCACTCCTTTCAAGTTTTATTATCACGTGTGGGAATGACGGAACTTTCTTAATAAATTTATGGTAGATGACGATGCAACCACGAAATATTGTAGCTCGAGGCGTCCTAAACCGAGGGTCTACTGTTTTTTTTTCTGTCATCACTGCAGCCTGACATTTATGTAAAAACAAAATAAACCCGACACAAAACTGTCACAAAACTGTGCAGATTTTTGAACGCTGGTGCATTCACCGAGGTCAAATGAAGATCACAGCCACTGTTTTCTTCTGCTTATTCCTTAAATATCCGACCACATCCATAATGACAGCGTTGCTGCCTACATCAAGGTTATAGTGTGGTCTGGACCTGACGTTCTCCAGATGTTCTGGACGTCTACCATTTTGAACTCTGTGCCTTTTTTTCTCTCAGAGAGCTGCAGTAAATGTGACCAAAATCTGCTTCTCCATTTTTTTAAATGACACAAAGCTTAAGTTTAGCAGGAAAGTATCACAAGATTTCACAGCAGTCAAAGTTATCTTTTTATCAGAAAAGTTAAAAAATGTTGTCCTTTTTCATGTATACAGGTTAATGTTCAGCATTAATTTGAAAAAGTGAGAAAAGACATAGTTACACAATATAATTAATTAGATTAGATCAATTTGCTTTACTGTGTCCTCAATTATTTAATACCAAACCCTCACAATGTGCTCATCTGTGAAACTAACACGCTTACATGCTAACCATGCTTGTTTGTCTGCACAGTCTCAAAAACTCCTTTGTCAACAGCACAGTGCAGACAAAACATTGTGTCTTAATAAACCTATCAACTTCAGACTTTTTTTAAAAAAGGCCAAAGTGTCTAAATAACTACAGGTGCAGCTGAAAAAATTTAGTGATGTCATTTTATGATTATGTTGCACCAATCTACTGCTTACTGTAGCTGTAGTGTTGTTCATGTCTATGTTGTGTCTAAGACTCACTTCGTCTCCACTGGCCAACCGCTGTGTTAGCTCCTTCAGGCTGCACATCATCCGCTCATCGAAAGTTTTCTGTCCACTCTGTCAGCAGCTGAAGGATCTTTGGAGCCAAATGTCTGAGTCCAACCTGAAACATGAAAAAATTGTAAAGGAACTGCATGATAAAAATGTGTGTATATTGTTTTAATTTTCATATGTCTCAACTGAGAACTGATCCATGGCCATAGACTGTACAAAAGAGTCCTCTAGATCCTGAATCCTGTTACACTGTCATTAACATGGATCGCAAATCAAGATCACCTACATCCTCCTTTTGACAGCACACCTATTTTTTGGAATCACTGGTATTTTTTTCATTTTCCCGGTAAAAGTTTAATGGGACTGGAAATATTACTGGACATTATGACAGTTTTTGAACAGAACATTTTTATGACTTAATACCTTGTCGGCCCGAGGTTCTCCGAGTCTCTGCTGCTCCGTGCAGAGCAGACACACTCTAGACATGAGGTCATGAGGTCGGATAAAGAGACGAGAGCTGAGCAGAAAGGTGAAGATGAATGTCCTCTAAAGAGACAGATCAGATTAGGATAAGTCAGAAAAAAAAAGTACAGTTCACAGTTGTAATTGTAATAATGAGGACATACATCAGGATAATAGTCCGCTGTTGGGACCAGGTGATGGATCAGATCCTCCAGAGATCCTGACACCAGGTTATTGTCATTGTAGCAGAGACCCAGACTGTGATCCCTATGGTTCTGGTTCAGGTTCTTGTTGTAGACGCTGGTCTTCAGCTGACCCTTAAACTCTGTAGTCTGAGGCATTTTCACCTACAGGAAAATACAGAGTCAATGAGGACAACCCACAGATTGAGATTGACAACATTAAGAACCACACTAAGACACACAAACAACCCAGAAGGACAGGGCAGACGAGGACAAGAAAAAAACAAAAAACAAACGTGCAGCAGTAACATAAGAATAGATTCAAGAGTTTCGTAGCTGTAGGTTCTCACGGGCAACTGCATGCAAGACTGGCCCCAAAACATCAGTGTGTCAACAAATTATCACCCCACAACACAGACACACAGACACACATGCACTCCTTCACTCTCATTTCCATGAGAAAGAGTTAGTGCTTAGTGGCTGAGCATCTGCTGCAGCATGTGGTCAACAGGAGGAGGAGGGACTGAAATAAAGCCACTGTTGGAGACTCTTAATCATGATGTGCTTGTTTGTGTTTTGTATGTGAGACTTCAGACTGCTAATGAAAACACACCACTGACTGACTGATCAACAGTTTAACTGAAACAAAGCAGACGTCAAGCCTAATCAATAACACCGTCATCTGTGTCTCCGTCTTCCAGAGGATGAGAAGATCTCTGGACCACTTTTCCAGCAGTGTCTCCTCCTCCACCACCACCATCATCATCACCACTAACAGGTGGTGGGTGGAGTTCTATGGATTTTACCATCAGACTCTGGTCTGGAGCTGAGCCGCAACAGAAGATCCACAAACCTTAGCACACGTCCATCTTAGCGGTGACAAACGTATTAACATGCTATCAACACATGTTCATGGTTTTACCTTAAACAACAGGTACGACTTTAATCACTGGCTTTGGACTTGATCATCCCGCATGATGTCCAGTTTAGTAAATCATGATCCCATTTAGAGCAAAATAGATGATAATGCAT